GGGCTGTATGTTTCTTGTCTAACGGACGGCCTCGGAAGCCTTTCGTAGCTACCGTTAAAATTTTTGTTATTGTTATAGTATTTCTTATTGACCCTGTGTATAATTTTTCATGCTTATTAATGCTTTTTTATTTTATTCCTGATAAATACCATCACCATTACATTTTGGTAAATAAACAACTGAATGTTTGTAAAAATCTGGGGCTCTCGATTGACACAGAGCTTAAATACAAAAAGCATGTACATTTATTAAGTAGCGCATCATACTGCATTTTGAAGCAGTTTTATCCACATAGATAAATAATGTCTACTTCGCCAAAGCTAAAACTGTCTGAAAGAATGATTATGTCAAAGATCAGTTATTGTGACACTATATACAGGGTGTTTCAGTTTATTGTTGCATAACTTTAAGATTCGATATAACTTTTAAAATTAATGCATAAAGTCTATATAAACATGGGTCGAAAAATGCGTGGCTTCCGAAACACATGGTGTTTAAATTTACTTTCTAAAATAGTTTTTTTAAAATATTTCGAACAATATTTGATGTATAACAGTGAAAATTGGTATACAAGGGTTTTTTGGTACGACAAAACGAACCATGGGCATAGTTTTACTGTAGCCGCTAGAGGGCGCTCTCTACTGGACCTGTAGTATATTAAAATGACCGCAATTTTTTTCTTAGTGCAATTTTTTGCCTTTTGAATAAAAAAACTGATTCTTCGCACTTTTCGACATAAAAAAGCTCTCTTGTGAATTTTCGTTATAGTTAGCCGTTTTTGAAATATTTGGATTTTTAGGGTTCGATGCATTTTTAATTATTTATGATAAAATAACGTTAAAAAGTCAGTATCTCGATAATTTTTAGAAGTAGGCTGTGCCCGCAAATATTTTTGAAATTGAAAGCAGAATAAGGTTAAACGTCAATTAGTTGACAGTTAGTTTTGTTGTCTGTTGAAACCTGAAACGTTTTTTTCAATTGTGAATGCACAAAATTTAGTTTCTTTTACCTGTTTTTTTTTTGTAAGTTTTATAGAAATGACATTTTAATTCTCCAATCAAGAGTTAGCGGATATTCATTTTGTGTATGGCTTTGTAAATGGAAACGCAGCAGAAGCAGCCAGAGAATACGCACGAAGATTTCCAAGCAGACGATATCCAACTCGCTCAGTATTTGCAAGAGTGCATCGCCAAATAATTGAAAATGGTTTTGGAAATCTCCAAAGGGATCAAAACATAAATGTTCGTCAGCGCAGATTTACCCGTATGATTCTGCGTGAGTTTGATAGAGATCCGACCACAAGTGTTAGGAGAGTTTCTGGTGCCTTGGAAATTTCAGCAAGCCATGTTCACCGTGTTCTTAAAAATGACCATAGATGTCCTTACCATTTGCAACCTGTGCAAGGACTACAGCCTGGGGACGGAAAACGAAGAATCACATTTTGTCAGTGGATTCTTGATAGAACTGATAATAATAGGGAGTTTTTAAGTAACGTTTTATGGACCGATGAGTCATGCTTCACTAGACGTGGAGTGGTAAATTTTCATAATCAACATATTTGGTCGCATGAAAATCCGCATGCAGTTCGGGAAAGAAATTTTCAGCATGAATTTAGTGTGAACGTGTGGATTGGTATCTACCGTAATCGACTATTTGGACCCTACCTTTTGCCTGCAAGGTTAAATGTTGCGGCCTTCTTGGAATTTTTAAAGGCTGAACATGCAAATATGTGGGATGATGTTATGTTAGATTTAAGAAGATTGGCCTGGTTCCAGCTTGATGGTTGTCCAGCTCATTATTCGAGAATAGTTAGAAACTGGCTGGACGAAAACTATCCAGAAAGATGGATCGGCCGTGGAGGACCAGTCGCCTGGCCTCCACGATCCCCTGACCTAAATAGATAGAATCAGGAATGCATGTGATGAAATAAGGCCTTATTTGAATAATGCTATACCACGTTCGATCATTCATAGATGTGAATTGTGTATTGAACAATTGGGTTTACATTTCGAGCAACTACTTTAGATTTTGTATGTTTGTCCTAACTATCCAATAGCATTTTAGTTGTAAATAAATAATTTAATTTGTTAAAAATAATATTGGAAAATGAAACAAATTAATATTCTGTTTTTTTGTGTTTATTTGGAGTTAGGAATTATTGCTGTGTTTAAAAACACAATCTAAACGATCATCTTAATTACTTGTAATGCCCAAATCGAAAATGTACTCACAGGAGAGCTTTTTTATGTTAAAAAGTGCGAAGAATCAGTTTTTTTATTCAAAAAGCTAAAAATTGTAAAGTAAGTAAATTTAAACACCCTGTATTTCGGAAGCCACGCATTTTTCGACCCATGTTTATATAGACTTTATGCATTAGTTTTGAAAGTTCTATCGAATCTTAAAGTTATGCAAGAACAAACTCAAACACCCTGTATATGGCCCCGCTATCATATAGTGAACAAAGCAAATTACAGGGCATTCGGAATTCGTGTGTCAGATTTTCTTGCGCAATACGAAACTTTAATCCCGTTTCTTATGAATTTAAGGAACTTGGTATTCTGCAGATTAAAGGAATGCAGAAACTCCACTTATTGACACTCACACATAAGGTGTTAGCTACCAAAAAACCACGATAATTGCATAAAAAGTTAGCAGAATACAAGGAATAGAAATATGTTAGTGATACGCTTATATTTTGAGGCTGTCTACAAAAAATCATTTAGGTACAACGCAATTAAATTACATAATGATCTGCCTGTTACATTCCAAAATTATTCACTTTTTAATTTTAAAAAGAGGCTTAAACTAAAGCTACACGCGAGGTCTAATGCTGGAAATATCGACTATTCTTGTAATTGATTCTATTTTTTTGTGTTGTTAATTAGTTATAATTGAGAATTATGCATGCATTTCTATTAGTTGAATGTGTTATTATATTATTTTTTTTATGTTCTCGCAAAGGTTAAGGTGAAAAACGCTACTATTAGCGATACTTCGCCTTTTTGTAGTTTGTATGAAATAAAGCCCATTTATTATTATTATTATAAATTGAAATTAATTGCTTGTCATTTCTAGAAATATCATCTTTTGAAGCCCAGTTTGTCTTAGTACTTCACTCGCGATGGTTTGTGAAACACAAAAAATGGCTGGCCATAAAAGACTTCGTTGAATAATCATTAACAACCCGAAAAATATCTGAATACAAGTTTAGGGAAGTTCGGATTTTTGCTTATATTTTCACCGTCACTACACTGACTTTGAGAAACCAACCTAACTTTTTGTCCTGTCGTCATTTTATCGAAATCCGTGCAATACATTCGTGGTTACAACGGAGTCAAAGATTATTCGACTTGGCTTTTCATGATGCACATGTCTTTCTCTTAATCGAAATGCTTCACAATTGCAATAGTTTCTCGCCAAATGACGTGAGCAGTGAAACGGATAAAGTACTCGGATTGAACAAAGAATTATTAGTCGATATGTCGGACAAAGGCAGGTCCAAAAAATTAATGCTGACTATTTCAGAAACTATAAGACTTTTACTAAAACATAATTGTGTCAAATGATAGCTTATGCCTCGTTTCTAAAAGATCCTGTGACCTCTAGATGCTGCCAATTCTGGTGATACAGTGGATACGGTCTACTCGTCATTGAACAAAAGTAATATAGGCTTTGTCTATGTGACTACATTCGGAGAACCATTAATAGTTGTTTCGAGCTTTTTGGCAACTCATCAGCATGGTCTAAACTTGGTCTCAGGACAACTAGAGTACAATTCAGGCAAACAGTCCGCTGTTTCACTGTCACGGTGGGCGATTCTGGTAATAGATGGCACTAGGTGTTAAATTAATCCGATCCTGTATATGTTTTCAATTAAGCTTAGCCTTTAATGTTCACCCCGCACTGCTGCATCGCTGCCAAGCTAGCTCGGTCCTATTTTATTATACGCCTCTAGAATCTGCAGCTATGTCCCCAGATTATCCTCTAAATTCCGTTAGTGCGACTAAATTGGCAATCGCAACGTTAAACATTGAGGCGACAGCCCGGAGGAATTTTAGAGGTAAACATTGTCAACTGCGCCCTGTTAGTTCATGGGATTACGGCGTAAAATTGATTTGTTGCTATTACTCTTGATCACGGATTATGGATAACTGCTCGCAGAAGAATCGCTAACTATCTGATGCTGGTTTGGCTTTTTAGGCACTGTAAAGATTTTTCATGATTGCTCTTGTATAAACGTATCTTCAGATGAATAGTCTATGGATTTATTTCGACTTGCTTCAGTTGGATAGATATATCCGAGTTTTATTTTTTAATGTTTTGTCCTTTTTTTTCTTTGCCCTAAGGTTTTGTTGGCCACGTTTACGTATCATTTAAATGGTAAGAATGACCTGGAATTTCAATACAATTTGTTGTTGATGTTTTTCCTTAAGTTCTTAATATCCGTTTCCTTGTAATGCACGGAAATATTTCTCGTCGTCAAATGAAAAGTATCACAATCACGCGTAATTGGGGGATTTATTTACGAATTTCTGAGGTACGTTTTTCTGTTGCCATTACGTGCAAACCATCTAACTTATATACACCTTTTTTATAGTGATGTTATGCCGTTTGTGGAATCTGAGCCCGCTTCTGAACTTTTCTTCTAGATACGCCAGTGGGGATAGGAATTTGTTTCTTTGTATAACAAAGATTCTTCACTCATAACTTTGATAGAGGACTTTGTATTTTTGCTACCTACAGCGCTGGGGTATTTGCTTTTGACAAGATTTTGGCTAATAAATCCCAATGTTCACTTGAATTATTCGATCCACAGTATGTAATTTGATCTGGTGGCCAGCAAAACGTGGAGATTTATTAGCATGAAGACCAGAGGATAAGTTTCAGATGTTGCATTGTTACCATAAATGCTGGAATCTGTGTTTGCTTGTCCTGGAGCCATCCATGTGCAACGTTTTCAAAATTACATGTGCTTAACTCTATGGAAATGAAAAACATACCTCTTTCAGCTAGAGCAATCTGTATTCTCCTCTTGTCCCTAGCTCTGGACTCCCCTACGTCCAAGATCACAACTGGTATACCAGTATATTTCAACTGCCATTCGTTGTCTGAAGATGACTTTGTGTATAAATTCGCTAGGGATCCGCTGACGAAAACCTGTAACAAAGAGGAGTTAAAATTAACTTCGAAATATTTGACCAAACTATAAAATATCTAGATTGATAAAAAACATCGGTAGAGAACTCCAATGTCTTCAAGAGAATTGTTGGATCACCGAAGGTTATCAGAAGTTAGATTTCTGCTTCGTGTTTTACCCATGGAACGTGAAGGTGGCTCAATGAATAAACTAATTAAATTCATCAACTTTGCAAGTTGTCTGTCAATTCAAATCAAGCTCATGGCATATAAGTTTATTAAATTTATAATTTGATAGTGACTTTTATTTATTTATGTGTCTTCGACGGAGTTCATTTGTTTTAGTCGCCGAAGTATTCAGCAATCCGCAACTACAAGTGCTGATTTCTTCATGAATCCAAAATGCGGTTAATAGTAATTGCTTTTGATTCTTGATCAATACAAATGCAGCAGTTGTTAAGGATTGCTTAATAGTTTACATCGTAGGAAAAAACAAATGAACTCATCGCGTGGAAGACAAATATATGCAAATAAATGAAAGTCAGTGCCTAGTTATCAATCATATGTTATTAATTTAATTTGATTCTCGAAAAATGCTCCCGAGGCAGCCGAAACGTTAGTAAACTAGTCTATTCTGGACCTGTGGTTCCATGTAATGGCCAGTTTAAAGGAGATGAATGAGTTACAACTTAAACCAATGTTCACACGTGTGCGTTTTCCCTTCCACCTTCAAAATGAACAAGACCTTGTGATTGACCTCATAAGGATCATGGTGAAGATGAACATGATACGTCGCAACATTATCCTACAAAGTGCTTTAATGAAATATTTATTCCGCTACGCGGATTCTCCAACTTTTTGTTCCAAGGGCTACTATAGTATGCACATTCACCATTTTTGCAAATCTTGCGAACTTAATATCTTTCACTCTCGGAAGCTTCGTTTGGTCCCATGATAACTTTTAATCAGGAAAGCAAGAAATGTATCATACCTACTGAATGTTTAGGCATACCGACTGGGACTCATTCTATAATATGCGTGTCCGTTCATATTTCCAAAATCTAAACAACATTTACCAGAAAAGGAATGTTCAAGGAAGCAAGGTAGACTGTTTTACAACAGTCAGATAATGTTTACCGAAGATTGTTGAGATGCTGGACCACCTTCAGAAGAAGAGTATTGATATTAGAAGGGATTGAGCAGAGAAACAGAATATATAGATGCAGCTTTATTGCAAGGGGATCAGATGGGAAGTATAGGAATCAACCGTGAAGCAGTTCGGAAGTTTCCTGATATTTGTCAGGGTTGTGGGATCAATGTAAATATTTTTTGCAGTGTGTGATATTAAAAACATTGCTTGCAGGTGCATCATCGGCTAAACCACATTAAGATTCATAGATTTCAACGTGCAAGAGTAGATGAAAAAAAAACGGTTTTATAATTTATCAATATATTACTGAAGATAATGCATATGCATCTGTATGTAGGCTCGTTGTCATGTGCATGCAGTTATAGTGCATATTGTCTCAATAAATAATGCGCTCTCATTTGACTTTCAGTTATGTGAATTAATTTCAATGTAGCTTTACAGTTAATGTTACCCTAGTTCTCGGTACAGTTGCACAGAACGCTAGAGGAAGATGTTGCAGTTATATTAATATTTATCTCTAATGCACTCCTCTTTTACTGTGATAAAGAGCATGTTGAACTATTTACTAAATTGTCAATAATTTTTCACTAAACGTACTTCTACAAATTCACACATCTAAATTTGAACTCAAAATTACTTAACTAATGTAATATTACTGTATTACTAGTGTAGTGTTTTCATTGCAGAAAATTCTAAAATCAAGGTAGCTCTCTGACTGGCGTTTTCATTTCTTGCTGCCACAATGTAGCTTCTCCTTTGGACGAATTTTTTTTCAATATATCGTCAACCCGGAAAATCTCTTCAGGTAGAATTGTCAAACCCTTAACTTCGTCTAATACAAATAACGAGAGCGCTCATACTTTCTTCTACAAGAATATTTGCGTACAGCTATTTCGTTTCAGAGACTGCCCAATAGATGGCGTTTCATATGTCTTGCTAACAGGCGGCGTTTGCAGTTGTCGTCAGGTCGATTTTAAGCTCCGGTGGAACTAACCTCGCAAGTTTATTAAGCAAACAATAACAACTAATTATCAAAATGGTTTAGCATGTTGTATCAATTTTTTTCTTTGGGAGGGTCTATCTGAATGTACAATAAAATATGAGACATTCGTTTTAAAAAGAAGATTCATATAACACACTATAGCCTGTGGATGATTGGTTATTTAGTGTTTCAATATTCTAGAGTTATAAGGAGCTTATAAACGAGGTATAATACAATCCATCATTCCATTTAAAAAGATATCCTTGATGCCGCCCAAACGCCATCTTAAAATTTCCAACTGCTACTTTCACTCTAAAGCATAGTATTTATGCATCAATTCCATAATCCACAATTTCAGCTTTGTAGCCTGGCCTCTCCAAAAAATAAGTAGTTAGATACTTTTTGAAAAGCTCTGAACATCCAATTGCAGATTTATATTTTTTTTTTAACTCACGGCAAGGAGTTATTTAGACAAAAAACAATTTGTGTGCCATACCTTCGGAAACATTGACGCATATCCCTGTAAACTCTCAGATTTACAAAAGTTTCACATTTCACATATCTGAATCATCCGCTAGTCCATGATATGCGCATCTGCCGTCGGATCAACGTAGGCGCTGAAACAGTTGAAAGGCGCACGACGAACGACAGCTCGATGCTCGATTGTTTATCGCAACAGGCACGATGCGACCATCTTTGACCTTTCAGATAGTTTGTGGGAAACGCAGCATGCCACGACATGACAGCGAGCAGCTCCTTCGTGTTCGATGTGAACTAGATGACAATTTGCATACTGTTAGGCGTGCAGATTTGTAATTAGCACAGTTTCTGTACTGGTCCCGTATATCGCGTGCCACTTATTTGTAAAGAAGTAGAAAGAATGACCGAAGTGTTATACCGTCTTAATTCCGTGTTCACTACCGAACGGCTCGCTCGATTGTGACTCACTGCTTCCGCAATCTGATCGGGTATTTATTTTCATATCGACGAGTCGAGAACCATTCCAGCGTTTTCCAGCTCCGGTCGTGAACTTCCGTGGAAGTAGTACAAATGGTAGCAGGTGCCTCCAGACGAATCTCGATTATGATTGAATCTCAGATTAACCGGTTATAGTTAGCGCCACAAGAGCTCAGACACGGTTGCGTAACTGATTGCCTAAGTGTCGATTCTGCAAAGCGGCTTCTCGTCGCTCAAGGTCCCAGCTGTATGAGGCATTAGGGATTCCAAAACGGGATTCCGTATGTTGTCTCCATCTATGAGACAGTAGCAGAAACAGATGCTAGAACTGCCGACCCATGAATTATGTCTAGTGTGTGGCTGCCTTAATGCAACGCCCCCTTTTTGATTTTACCTTGCATTTTCCCAACAGAAATCGAATACTCTGGCCCTCTAGAGTCATCATACCGCTCCCATGTTTGAACGTTCATATTAAAGTTTGTGTACCTACGGCACACACACGATGATTCACGGGTACGATATCAACCGGGAAAATAATGAAAGTATATTTGAGTTTGGTTGAAGTAGAACGTGAAAGGACGTGCACAGCGATAGTGTGACTCACGACTTTTATATGGTTTTGCACTTTTTGTCGGGGAAGCTGGTTGTAATGAGTACTTTTGTAAGTAGATTGGCTTAAAGCCCCATTTGGGGTACAGTGAATTCTTTTTAACAAGAGAGTTTAATCAATTAACTAAAATTGGATTTTTCGTATTTTTCATAGCAAAGTCCGTTATACAAACTTCAAGGTGAATATGTATGTCATTTTCGGTTGTCAAAATACCTAAATTTGAGAGCCTCAATGTGGACATAGTCGATCTGAGACAGTTCTAAATTAATTTAGGCTTAGAGAAGCTTATCTCGCTACTGGCAGATGTTAAAAAAATTCTCAACATTAAGACAATGTTTGGTAAGCCATTTTTAAGGTTAGACTCAATAATGTATGTTAATTAGCCCCGAGAGATGGACCTAATGGGCTCTTTTTGCAGTTTGGCTCTATTGCAGCTACGCGCTCAACGTGGAATTCTTCTCTAGTAATGTCGCAAGGTGATTGATCAAGTTCGTCAACGCCCAATATCACCTCAGGCCCGCATATTTTTACGCTAAATTCTGCAGCTAGTGGATTCTTCCTCTAGTTTCAGCAGTTACTCTGTCTACTCATGAAAATATTGTTATGTGTGTCTTGAAATATGTTTACTTTCAGTTCTGCGCCATTCATATATTTAGCTATAAAGAATATTTTAAAAATATAACACTACACCATAAATTCTTGACCAAAGCATTATTAAAGTCCATACCCTAACCAGTCGACCTAAGCAAGTAGTGCCTAACGTCATACATACCCAGTGTCGCATATACAGGGTGACTTTGAAGTTGAGTCATTAATTTTCAGATAATGATTGTAGAAGAAAGATAAACCAAAATATGTGTGTAAAAATAAAATAAAAATTAAAAAAAAATTTACCTTGTTTTATAAAGTATCCTCCCGACAAGTATTTCAGTGCGGACCTGTATTTGATCGTGAGGTCTTGGAGCACCGGCATGCCATCCCCTGTGAGGTCTTAAGTCACCTGATTCACGAGCCCGTTGTACTACATTAACAAAGGCACGAGGGGTTGGTTGCACTCGATTGGGAAACCGATCCGCATAAACATGTGCCATTTTTTATTTCGTTTGAGCCACGCAACAGACACCACTATTCACTCACGCGTTACCGACTGACACTGACTGTATACAACTGAATAAAATAATTGTAAAAAAATCGTTCCAAATTCTTTCGCTTTTTTGTTTCCGATGCGATGAACCGATAAGGCGGATTATATCCGTTGTTGCCAAACACGAGCACATAATATTATCATTGAGACAGGGTGGTACTCAAACTTCCAAAGGGCT